TACCCTGTTGAAGAACAACCAGATGCACCACCTTCTAGTCAACCAAGCAGAACGGAAGATTACCCTGTTGAAGAACAACCGGATGCACCACCTTCAAGTCAACCAAGCAGAACGGAAGATTACCCTGTTGAAGAACAACCGGATGCACCACCTTCTAGTCAACGAAGCAGAACGAGATATTTCCCTTACGGAGATTGCATTCCCGATGATCTGGTGAGTACTAATAATCTGCCTCAGGTAAGATAGAGCATGCTCAGATTTCAACTATCTGCATGACATGTCTGGTCAGAGCGAAGGTGTTATAAATGAAATCCAGAATCTTTCTAGTTTGATTTTTAAAAATGCTCGAAGTTGATCAAATCCCCCTGTCATTCAGGACCTTGAAATACACGCTGGTTTGCAGGCCATAAACGTTTGTAAAAGTGATAATGTGTTTATGTCTTAGCGTGTTGGTGGAGATGTGTGGAGATGTGTGGAGGTGTGTGAAGATGTGTGGAGATGTGTGGAGATGTGTGGAGATGTGTGTGTACACATGTGTATGTTATCCCTATTGCCGAGAGTGCACTCCATATTATCGAGATAATCTAAGACTTATAAGGAGCAGCATAAAGACCTCTTGTAAGATTAATCCTAGAACAGGCGAGATTTCTTGTGTAAGTCGGCAAAAGACCACCAACTCAGCCAAGACACAATTCAAATGACGTATCATTTTATATTAATCAAATAAGCAAAGAATACAAATAAATAGCCTAGGCCCTAGTGGATTTATTTGATTGAACATAGAATGTCATACAAATATACAATATGATACAAGAATATACAAAGAATATAAGATTATAGAATATACATAGAATATACTAGAACATTAGTTAAAAGACAGTGTACTGCAATGGATTCATTGATTTGATTTTCACTCTTATTTTTTTTTAAATAAAAAATAGTGTAGAATTTAGTAGTGAGGGATTCAAGAGGTAACGACTACTGAAATGTAGAAATCTATTCCTGGCAAAATGACATCAGATCTTCGATCAAGAAAATTCAAAGCTGAATATCGTGCACATATTGAGAAACTACTCTTGCGAGCGTGCTCATGAAAATAGAACAGAGTGAATCAAAACCCGTTCATGGATCTGTAGCATGAATTATACGCTTCGATCAGACGATGTGACTATTCCTTGCTGCCAAATTTATCCACGCAACAGATTGCTGAGCCTCCGCTCGCTCTCTACGTTCGCGTGATGTTGCCCCTACCTCACGGGAATGTCACCCTCGCGCCATGTGGCATAAATAATCCACAATAGTGGCGCACGAGGCATCTATATCCGGCTTTTCAGCTATAGCAATGGGGAAACATCTGAGGAGCCAGCATCGCCCAAACTCCAGCGATGACACTGCCTCCCCGCTCTGAGCTCTCACCCTGCCAACCTGTCAGGTGGACCGTAGCACAAAGCAGAACCCCGTTAGTCCTCCACAGGCAATCTGTGAAGATCCGAGACGATGTCGGCTATCAGAGATCGCCATGCCTACTCTCAATCAAACCAGACAGAGATCCTCACAACGGCATCACCAAACAATCAAGAAAGTCACTCATCAAATCTCGTGCATATGCTGAAATGGAAGTGCCGAACAACATGAATCCCACTCACCTCCCGATCGCACCCTCACAGTAAAGCTGCTCCGCATG